ATAAAGTTTTTTTTTTTTTTTTTGGTCCGAAGGATTGAACTTGGGTCCTTGTGCTTGTAAGGCAGGCGGCAGAACCACTGAGCTAAATCCCCGGCCCTTCTTTTTGGTACCAGGGATTGAACTCGGGTCCTTGTGCTTTCAAGGCAGGTCAATGAACAGCTGAGCTAAATCCCCAGCCCCCCCCTTTTTTTTTTGAGATAGGGTCTCACTATATATCCCAGGGTGTCCTACAACTCAGGATCCTCTTGCCTCAGCCTCCTGAATGTTGGATTTATAGGCATTTGCCACCATGGTCAGCTTAAATATTAATTAGTTTTGTGTATTTCTTTCTGGTTCTCTCAAATCTGTTGGAAATGGTTGCATTTGTTCTGGTCACTTAAATCATTCCCTTTCTTTTGAACTAACTGCTGAATCTTTCCACACTTCTTTTGATTTTATGCTTAACCTTCTGATGGTCAAGTGACTGTCACCTAAGAGGAAGTGAATGAGGTCTGTCAGGTTGTTTGAATCTCTTATGTTCAACTAAGTAATTACAGATAAGTATTACTTGTGGGTTTACAGGTCCGATGGACTGCACAGGACTAGGAAGAGGTGGAGGCAGGTAGCCTTGGGAGAGGCAGTTTCTCCAGACCCCGTTTTTCTTTCTTTCTTTTTTGGGAACCAGGATCAAACTTGGGACCTTGCCCTTTCAAGGCAGGTGGCAGAACCACTGAGCTAAATAACCGAGCACACACCCCCGTTTTTAATAGTGCATGGTCAAAAAAGAGTAAAGTCTGATCTAGTTACATTTTTATTTATATATTTACTTATTCATGGAGGTGCTGGGAATGGAAACCAGGGCCTTGCACATGCTAAGCAAGCACTACACATCCCCAGCCCTCGGAGCAGTTAATTTTTTTTTGGTTTTTTTTTGAGACGGGGGCTCGTTAAGTAGCCCAGGCTGGCCTCGAACTTGGGGTAGTCCTCCTGAAATTACAGGCGTGCGCTACCATGCCCAGCACTGTAGTTTAGTTAAATTTTAATAATGGAAAGAAAGAAAAAAATTAACCTGTGATCTAGAACAACACTTTTTTCAAGATTCACAATCATACAGAAATTCTCCAATTGACTTATATCACCTCCTGATTTACTTCCACATAACTCCTCTTACCACGAGCCAACGTGTGTGTGTGTGTGTGTGTGTGTGTGTGTGTGTGTGTGTGTAAGTCAGGAATCTTGGGATGTTGTTTGCCATACAGAAAAAGACTGATTCTGTGGTACCACTATGTCATCATGGGCAATTTACCTCTTCAGTTCTCATTCAGTTTCCTTTTTTTTAGAGAGGGGATCCAACTACTCTTACAAGATCTGTAAGGGCCCCAAACAAAAGCCTGAGGCTATGGCGGGGAGATCTTGGCCTAAAACGACCGGAAATCTTGGGATGTTGTTTGCCATACAGAAAAAGACTGATTCTGTGGTACCACTATGTCATCATGGGCAATTTACCTCTTCAGTTCTCATTCAGTTTCCTTTTTTTTAGAAAGGGGATCCAACTACTCTTACAAGATCTGTAAGGGCCCCAAACAAAAGCCTGAGGCTATGGCGGGGAGATCTTGGCCTAAAACGACCGGAGGCCGAACTGTGGGGTGTCTCCGCCAACCCGAGACTTAGACCAATATCAGGGTCCTCGGTAGCTACCACCACAAGACGACCGCGCAAGCCCACCTGGTCCGACCAGGGCTCATCTCACCACTTCACCTCACCTTCACCAGCGCCGCGCTTCCACTTCCAGTCTCAGTATACCTTTCCCGACTACACTTCTGCGCAAGCGTAGCTCCCGCCTCCAGCATCCTGGGCTCACGCTCAGGCATCGCCTCTCTCGAACGTGCGTTCAGCTCTTTTCCTCCCAATACGGCCACCGTCGTTTGGGGAGGGGAGGAGAAAAGGGCGTGGAAAAGGGTGGGAGTGGGTCGGTGCGCGCCTCCGGTCCTCAGTCGTGGTTTCCTGGCTGCGCGCGGCGCTGGCGAAGTCGCAGCAGCTATAGTAGCAGCTGCGAAGATGGCGGAGGGGTTGGAGCGTGTGCGGATTTCTGCGTCGGAACTGCGAGGGATCCTGGCCACTCTGGCTCCTCAGGCCGGGAGCAGAGGTGAGTCGCGCCGCCCAGCTCCTGGGCTGGGCCTGCCCGCCCCGCCTCCTTGGCCTCTTCTCCGCCCAGTCCGTGGCGCTCAGGAGCCCCCGCCCCTTCCCCCAACAGTGGGGGCGGGAGCCGCTGGCAGGCCCCTAGCCACCCTGCCTGGCGGAGGGCTGGTGCGGTGTTTGGCCTCCGGGAGAGCCTGCCAGAGTTTGTCCACACCGTCTTTCTCACTACGACGGTCACTGTTCCCTTTTGCCCCAGCTCTCTCAGATCAGCCTTTGGATTCCCAGTCAGGATACGCGAACAGCAATGTGTGCTGGGGTCTGGTGGAGGCCCTGAGCTTTATTATTCCGAAAGGAGCCTTCCGCGGGCCTGCCCGCCTCATCTGATTGGCGTGGGAGAGAAAGGGCAGGGGAAATTGAGGAGAAAGGTTTTTAACGGGCTGGGACTTCCTCGCTGAACTTTTTCCTCCATGGCAAGCTTCTGAAAGCTTCGCCATTGGAGTGATCCGGGACCTCAGAGAGCTGCCTACTGTTGTTTCATCTTAGCATGTGGGAGAGCAGTCCCCCTCTTTAACCAAATTGTTCAACCTACCAGTTAAATTTTTTTTTTTTTTTTTTTTTTTTTTTTGTACCGGGGATCGAACTCCGGACTTTGCGCTTGCGAGGCAGGCAGCGGAACCACTGAGCTAAATCTCCGGCAATTTGCCAGTTAATTTTAAAGTCTCCAGCCACATCAGGAAAGCTCCAAGAAAGACTTGTGTCTCACCTCCCCTTTGTTAGGCTGTGGAGTTATGTA